CCTAACAGCTGTACTGGAGCCGGGCGGGGGGTGTCTCCAGCTGGGAATAACACAAGGAGAGGATGGTGCATTGACTCCAGACAGACGCACACCTCGCCCTCCACTAGGACCCAGCCTCTCTTGCCGGAGCAGCAGCGCTATCCCCTATTAGCGTAGTTCCTGCTTCCCCAGGCTTTGATTGATAGCAGTGGAAGCAGTAATTGCAGAGCGGCTGCTAGCAGGGGGCGCAGGACGATGACAGAGCGGGACTGGGCCGAGCTGTTATTTGGGGGACAGAGGAAGAACGGATGTGATGGGGCCCAGCTGCAGACACGTTTCTTGCCGTAGCATCCTCAGATTAATAGCTGGGGAGCAGACGGGTGGTTCTGCCTGGTAGACCGAGCGACGGCTTCCTTAGGATCGCAGCGATTGCTTTACGCTTGGCCATAAGGGGCTCTGAACGAGGGTGGGCAGATCAGGAGGTGGATCCGTGGGTAAATACGTTAGCTCCCTAACGTGGGGAATCAATCATCGAAGGCATCTGCTTCGGAACAGCCCATCCCCTGGCAGAGGCTGGGCTCCTCTGCCAAGATGCACCGGAGTAAAGGAGTTCTAATAACCTGGCAGCACAAGCCAACCCTGCCCTGCTCTGCACCATCAAAGACGGAGTCAAGGACCTTCATATATTTCTAGATGGGCTTGGACATTCCTATGGACAAAAGCAGCTTCTGCTAGAGTGGAATTTACAAGGGCGTTCCGGCTGCGTGCTTCAAGGCCTGAGATGACGCCCAGGAAGAATTTGCCCTCCCCACCCCCCCCGTCCAGGACATATCCCATGTCGATCTGCAGCCTAGCTCCAATGCAGCTGGAGTATTAATATCGGGCTAGCGTGCCTTTCATGCCAAAGACGCTTACGCTACCATTTCAGAGGCAGCAGGTGCTACGGGCAGGGCGCTGCATAGAAGGCTGGCTTCTATTCCCAGCTCCGCCGCTGCACTCGTGTGAGACCTTGGGCGAGTCATTTCCCCGCTCCGTGCCTCGGTTTCCCCTCCTGCCCTTGGTTTGTCTTGTCGACATAGATTTGGCAGTGCAAGGCTAACAAGAGCACAAAGCAGGAAACGCTTAGCTTAGCCAGGGATGGCGGCAGCTCTGGCTCCCGCTCACCCCCATGGAGCAGGCCACTTGTCGGGTCCCAGCCTGATGGTGCCCAACGAACCGGGCAATACCCCAGGCTGCACACTCTGCCCTCGAGCCCCCGTCTCGCCCCGCCAGCTGGCCCTACTTCCTGGTGGTCTGGTCACTCGGCTCACGGCACAAAGCTTCCCACTGTGCGGCCCAGCCAACGCTTGGCCCGGGACTTTTATTAAACCAGCAGGTGGTATTGCTGGTGTAGAACTAAGTGGAGGTGCTGGAGCGGTGCGAGATGCACCGTGATGTTGCCCGAGCTCAGAGGCATCCAAAACGCAGCCCCTTGCAACCTAGGTGTGCTCCTGCAGCCTCACCTATAACAGCGGGGCCAGCCACAGCCAAAGGCCCCCTCCAGGCCACCACCAAGGCAGATGCAAGTGGAGTCATGGGCATTTATTACCGAGAATCAATTGCTGGATCTGGGGCTGGAACTCCGTGCTCCCCAGGGTTCATTCAGTCCCGATGTAACTCACACTGGCTACGTTGTGATGTGTCCCATGCTAAGAGCCTACTACTGGCACTAGCCAGCAGAGTTACTCTTGCAGGTCAAGTGGCAGACGCCCAGACTCTTAGGGTTGGGAATCCCAGGTTCCCATCTTGCTGCTGACCTAGCTGGGGGTGTGTTACGCTTACTCACATTGAAGTCAAAGGGGGTGCGGTGGAGTAACTCGATCAGGATTTAACCCACTGTAAACAGTTAGGCACAGCCAGCAGGGGCCTGGCAAGCCGCTAGGATGATTTTGAGCCAGCAGGGAACCCCTTGTTCACGTTCCAGCACCGCATCAAAGGCAAGGGTGGGGTGATTTCCCAGCCCATGTTTTGGGGGGCACCCCTAGACACCGCCACGTCCCTTCCCCCCACCAAGAGATCGCTTCTCCGCAGGGCTCATCAGGATATCTCTAAGGATCACCCGTGTTTGGGGGAAGGGTGGTGCTCAAGGTGTTTTCGCTGCCCCCCACCTCCCCATCTCTATGTCTAACCACACACACTGGACCCGGCCTCGAGCCGAACCGTGGCATGTTCTTCAAGACCAAAGCAGCAAAGGGCATTTACTAGGAGTCTGCCACGCTGCACTGCCTTCCCCCTTTGGTCCTAAGAGGGAGCGTCGAGAGAGAAATCAAAGGCCTGGATCTCCCACCCCTCTTATCGGCAACGCGTGCTACGTAGCCCTTAGTCACCTGTTACAGCGCTGGCACCACGTCACCGGCCTTCAGGGCCACGACATTTGTTCGCTCCATCCTGCCGCGCTCTCTCGGGCGCGAGCCACCTGCTGACTAGCTGCTAGTCGATTTCCATATCGTTGCTGGGATAGAGCCTGGTCAGTTTCACGATGGATGGTTCGAAACCCATACGGTGGGTGATTATAGATAACATCACCGTCAGTCAACCAAATGGACCCTCTGTTTCTCACACACACACACAGACACACACACGTACATACACGCCCCTTCGCCTCCTCCCCAGGTCACCCCGCTCCAAAGGAGAACACTGTGTGTGCCCAGATCATTAAGAAATCAGCACTGCTGTCTTGATCCACGGCCCTTAACCCCTTGGGCCACTTTTATTTCCTCTGTCCCAGGAAAGTGCCTGGCACGCAGCAGCCTGCAGACACGTGATGCCTACAAACAAATGAACATCTGCACTATGTAGAGCGCTGGCCAGGTTTTGTTATCTGAAGGAGATCAGCGCGGCTGGCATTGTTTGCTTCTGTACAGTAGCCGCCTTTGGGTTCATTTCCTCTTTCCCCTTCAGCAGCTCTCAGTTATTTCTCGTGCGCTATCTTCCTTCCCCTCGCTTTGCAACACACACACAAAGAAATAAAAGCAGATCGATAGATACTGAGTATGCACCAGTAATGCTTCAAAGGAGAGGGCTATAAAAAAGCTCTTTCTCTCCCTCCCTCTTTCCCTGTTTTCCACACACTCGTTCCTTTCTGATCTACCTACAAACTTTGCAATAATGCCTAAGAGTCATGGCCCAGGACCAACTGTGCTAGGCCCTGTACGAACACAGAACAATCCAGTGCTTCTCTTCTGTCTCAAACACAAGCACAATGAAACGGAAAGGTGGCAAATTCAAAATGGCTACAAATGCAATGCTGCCTTGTAATTGGCCTGTGGAACTCACCGCCACAGGAGGCCATGGAGGCCAAGAATTTAGCAGGATTCAAAGAGGGATCTCTAACTGTCAGGGATTAGGATGAGTTTTTCAAGGGAGGCAAATGATCCCACATCGGCCTGCTCTGGAATTTCTTGCCACTTCCTCTGAAGCACCTGGCACTGGCCACTCAGAGACCGGAGACTGGGCTGGATGGACCTTGGGACTGATCCAGGCTGTCAACTCCCATGCTCCTAATATCCGGACGTCGTCCACGTACGATCAACTGGCGACAGCCAGGTCCCTAGTGGATTTCATGGAGGTGCTGGCTCTCCCCGTCCAAATGTCGACCCCAACTAAGGCTAAGATAGTGTGTGCAGAAAGAACGACGGAGCCTTTGTAGAAGTGGGGGGTCCACCGGCACCCAAACCGGCGGAGCCAGGGGGGCCATGCCTCCCCACTTTTTAACATCGGTGTAATTTGGGGGCAGAGGGCAGCATTTCCCACACACACCCAAACTGCAAACCTCAGGCAGATGCTGCGCTTTGCGGTGGCGGAGCTGATCTCCCTGCAAAAGCGGGAGCTGGGAATAGGCCCTCTGTCTCCTCAGACTGTCTGTATTTACTGACAAAGGCTCCATGCAAACTTGGCTGCCCAGGTGAAATTTCAGTCCCTCCTTTCATGGGAGGGGGTCCAGTTTGCTGCCTGGTGGGATGGGGGTGGGAGGCTTCATTCCCTGCAGGGAGGGCTGGTAGAAAGGGTTCAGCGAGCCGACAGCAGGCAGGCCAGGAAGGGCCTTCAGCAAGTCTTAGGGAACAGAGACACTAGAAGTTTAAGGTCCTGCTCACACTGGGGTTTGGCCACTGACTCGCACGGAAGTAGGATCGGGCCCTAGCCTCTCGCTGGTTTCACTGCTGCCTTCTGAATACAGACAATGCTTCCTGCTCTGCAGGGGAGTGCGCCCGTCCTGGGCTGGTAGAGGCTCCGGGACAACATACAGTGAAGAGCGCAGCAGATCAGACCGGCCCCCCAGCAGTGGCTAACCCCAGCGCTGCCGAGGAATGTGGTCTTCCCACCCCAAACACCCCTAGTCAAGAGCCCAACGGCGTTGCGGACGATCCCTTCCTGACCCCGACACGATCAGCTCACGCCCTGAAGCCTGAGATCTGATTACCCCCCATCGCCCCCAGGGTCACTCGCTGTAGATTCACGTACCAGCAGTGCCCTTTCTGCCTCCCCCCACCGCTCCCTTGCGTTCAATGCTAATTTACACCAGGTGTGGGGCTACCTCCAAAGTCTCCGTTCTCTGACCGATACTCACACAAACACCTGATGGCTACGCAACTCGGAAGGGGTGCGTGTGACACACACAGGCTCACACCAACACACACGCAGAGCACGGGGGGGTGGGGTGGGGGGAAAGAATGCGGAAAAAGCAGCCTCCTGGACACAACTGCGAGTCATCCGCACAAGGACGAGAGAAAGAACAGAGGAAGGAGAGGAGGAGGACATAGACGAGGAAGAGAGAGAAGGGAAAGCGCGAGAAAGGAGGGGAAAGAAAGAAAGAGGGAGTAGACGAGAAGAGAGGCAGAAAAGTGCAGAAGAAAGCCGGGAACTAACAATCCAGGGTGAGACCACAGGGAAAGACAAATGATCAGGGGCTGGGCAGGGGCTAGGAATTTCAGGAACTGCCCTCGGCATTAATAATAAAAAGTGAAGGGGTTTTTTGGCCTTACACTGTCCTGGATGGTCTCCATCTTCCAAGCCCATCACCAGCCCCCGAGATGGTTGCAGGGATCTCCGGACAGGGCAGCTCGCCGAGGCTGTGAGTGGATGTGCTCTGGCTGCAGGAGCCGGGGCCGTCCTACCCGCTTCCTCCAGTCCCCTGCAGGAATCCCACTTCTCCGCAGCCGCGGGCGACCTCAGAGGCAGAGGCTGTTCCAGGCGGCTGTGCTGTCACCGGCGAGCTGTTCGGAGCCTGGAGCGCATGGGGTCCACCCGGTGAAGGGGCGGGGGAGGGACCCACCAGAGGGACACCCCGTGCTGTCTAGCAAGCAAACCACATGCGAGGGAACTCGGAAGCTCACTGTTTTCAGCCACGTCTCCGCCCCCCCCCAGTCATATCTCCCTTTCCAGCTGCGGCGAGAGCAGCTGCTTAGCCTGGCCTCGCTGTGTCGATTGTACTCCTGTTACCCTCCCCGCAGTGGTGACCACAGCCGTGCCACCGTGTTATTGTCTGGCCTAACTTGGGATGCTCCATCTACCCCAGCCGCCTTGCCCAATACTGCCAGCAAATCCCTGTGCCTCCCCCAAAAGTCACAGGCTTCAGGAGCCTCGCAGTGCCAGGGCTTCTCCCAGAAGCACGTGGAGGCCACTTAAACCCAGAGGAAACGTCCCATTGCTTGCTGGAATGATCCTTCTGTGCTGGCACTGACCTTTCCCAGCCTGAACCGTGCCATCCAGGGCACCCCGCTCGCACCTACACCAACGGAGTTACGAGGCAGGCAGGTCACTGAGCCTGCAGTCCTTCCTCACGAGAGCTGCTACTGAAATGTTTGTGTGAGTGAGGGCTTGCAGGGCGGGGCCTCCCCTTCCTCAGGCCGGGGGGAGGAGGGGTAAGTACAGGGCCAAGGAGTGACCTGCAATTACTGTACACGCCAGTTAGTGCTTAAAAGGATCAGACCGCGGCAATGCCAACCTCCAGCACTACAGACACACAGGAGTGGCGCCAGGGTTTTTGCCGCCCTAGGCGGCAGCGCTCCTCCTCTGAGCATTCGGCGGCGGGGGTCCTTCCGCTCCGCGTCTTCACGGAGCTCCGCGTCTTCGCTCCTCTGACCTCGGCGGCAAGTCGTGGAGTGAGTGAAGGACCCGCCACCGAATTTCCGCCGAAGACCCGGAGCGGAAGGACCTCCCGCCGCCGAATTTCTGCCGAGGGCGGCAAAATGCCGCCCCCCAAATCCTGCCACCCTAGGCGACTGCCTAGGGTCGCCTAGTGGAAGCGCTGGCCCTGAAGACCCAACACCTACAACAAACAGAACGGAATCCACCCCGTTCTCTACTGCCCATTCCACCTCAGGGCCCAGGCATGCGAGCCTGGCTCCCACACCTCCTCTGTGCTTGAAGGAGTAGTCAGGGGCATAGCAGGGTCGGAGCCAAAAGCCACTGAAATCAACAGAAGCTTTTCCATTGCCTTTAACGGGCTTTGGGTCAGGCCTGCAGAGTCCGATCCTATAGTCCTTATTCACTGCCTTCAGTGGAGCCGGGTCCCAATGAACGGCACAGGGATTGAGCCTTGCGGGGTAACTGATTGCTTTAAAGTTCAGACTGTCCCCAGCCTCACAGGAGATATTGTGCCTGCCAGCGTTTGCTAATCTCTACTGGCCTGAGCCTGCAATGGACGACACCTCATTGGGTGCCCTCTGGGGCCCAGGCAGGATTAATATTTCGCTCTTTCACCCCCCAGCTCTCAAAGCGCTTTCTATGTCTATGTCCCACTGACTGACAAGACCCGGGGAGAGAAAGTGACTAGCCCAAGGCCACTCAGCAGAGATGGGAACAGACCTGCCTGCTAGTCTTGGACCCTGTCCGCAGCTCCACGCTGCCTCCCAGTGCCCACGGAGCCAACCCAGCTGTTGATTTTGCTACAATTTGCAGAGGGCTAGATCCTGCCACCCTGGCTCACACCGACCCCGTGGGCCAGCCAGAGGAATGATTGGCTCCTCAGCATGGGTCAGGCTCATAGAATCATAGAATAGCAGGGTTGGAAGGGACCTCAGAAGGTATCTAGTCCAATCCCCTGCTCAAAGCAGGACCAATCCCCAGACAGATTTTTGCCCCAGATCCCTCAAAGATTGAGCTCACAACCCTGGGTTTAGCAGGCCAATGCTCAAACCACTGAGCTATCCCTTCCCCCACCATGTGCTTAACTTCAAGGGATTCTTAGCCCCCAGGAGTCATTGTGTGACCATCCCAGTAACTCCGTGTTACTAGGCCTAGGATAGCAGGAGTCAAGCCCATGCACAAGGAAGAGTTTTTGCAGACCTGGGCAGTCAGGGCCAACCCCCATGCCCACTGAGCTCGGAAGGAGTTTTGCCATTGACTCGAGTGGGACCAGAGTGTCTATGAGGAGAATGATCTGGGATCCCCCGTTTTTTTCTCTCTATTACTATCGATGGTACTTATATGACACCCCCCCTTTACTGCGGTATCTGAGCACCTCCCACTCTTTAACGTAATAACCTCCCCAAGCCCCTGCCAGGCAGGGCAGTGCTATCATCCCTATAGCACAGGTAGGAAACTGAGGCACGGAGAGACTGAATTACTTACCCACGGTCACACAGAGAGCCTGCAACAGAGCAGGACTTAAACCCGGGTCTCCTACGCGGTGAGCTCACACCCAAACCACTGGATCATCCTCCCTCTCACCTATCCTGCCTTTATTCCCTCTCAGAGGTTCTGTCTCCCATCCAGCACTGAGGGCTGGCTACCGCTCCCCCTGCTGCCCGCAAAGGCTGTTCCTTCAACGGGCCAGCAGGGAGCGACACACAGCCCTTCCTGCGCTCTAGCGCCCTCTGCCAGAGCAGCACACCTAGGCCGGCACCCTAACTGCGACCCACCCCCATGCAGCTGGGTGTGTATTAGACAAGCCCCAAGTGCTCTTTGCACAGTGGTTTGTGTTACACATCCTATCACCAGCCATTTTTCATTAAGAGGGAAATAAATGTGTTTCCCTCTTTTCCAATCACAAATCAATCTGCCGTTGCCCTCGGCTATTTGCAGAGCACTTTTTTGTCTCCGGTTATTGCCTTTCAGCCTTGTTTGGCTCATTCCCCTTCCTGCATTCGTGGGCTCTTGATTAACGCTGCCAGGTCCCATCCTGCGTGCGGAAAAGTCGCCCAGAGCACATGGGCCCTGAACAAATCCCTGGCTAACAAACCCCGTCACTGCTAAGAAAGCAGGGCAGCGAGGGGACACTTTCCAGATCAAATGTGGAGGGTGGAGTTCCTCCATAGAGAGATCCTACGTGAGACCTATGCACCACCTGAGTCATGTTCTGAGGGTATAAGAAACACCTTGTATCGCCTCCCCCAAAGGAGAGTATTGAGAGAATTCCCAGCCTGTATGATATTCATGACACCTGAGCTTTTAAAAACTGACTGGATTTGTTTTCAATCCCACGTAGGGATGCTCTTCGCCTGCCGTTTGCATCACCCTCAGCAAGGATGGTGGAAGTAGAACGGTCAGTTTCAGTTTGTGTATAGTCAGTTTCATTTCCACGTTGTCAGGTAGTAGCACAAGTCTGTGGTGTTTGGCTTTCCCAGTATCTTACTAGGCTCAGGGGCCTGACTGGACCTCAGGAGATTTGGGTTAAAATTTCCAGCCTTGCCACAGACTCCCTTTGGCCCAAATCCTCAAAGGGGAGTTAGGTGCCTAAATACCTTTGAGGATCTGGACTGTGGCCTCTCTGTGCCTCAGTTCCTCATCTGCAAAATGGGGATAATGAACTTTCCTTTGCCCATCTGGTCTATTTAGATTGCAACCACTCTAGGGCAGGGGCTGTCACCTATCGTGTGTTCGCTCAGTGCTGGGGCCCCGGTCTCCGCTGGGTCGGCTAAGTGCTACTGTAATACAAATATGGATTTCATGATTTGGCCAGAGCAATCCCCTCTGAGGCCTTACACGCCACCGGCCCCCTCCACAATCTGCAACACAGAAAAAATTGCGACATCAGGGATTTGGGGGACATAATGCTACAGTCATAATAATAACCCTTTACATTTCACTGTCAGCTTCCACCGGAGGATTAACAGACCAAGCCTCCCAGCCACGCTGGTAAGCAATCTTATCCCCATTTTACAGATGGTGCAACTGAGACACGGGGGGGGGGGGGCATTAAGTGACTGTTCCAAGGTCCTACGGGGAGTCTGTGTCAGAGACAGGACCTGAACAATACTCCCACCCTATGCCTTCACCACAAGGCTGCCCTTCCTTGCCCTCTGCCAGGGGGGTCTCAAATTTAGTGTTAACCAGAAACTACCAGAGAGCAAGAGGTATCAGCCCTGGGAGGATAGAGAGTCCAGGGGTTAGAGCACTAGGAACTAGATCTTGGTTCACGTTTATGGCCTGCCACAGACTTCCTCTGTGACCTGGGCCAAGCCACATTGGCTCCGTTGACACCTGGAGCTGGGCGTGTGATTTCCAGGTGGAGGGCTAGCTCTGATCAGCGAGCACGTTACATAGAGAGGGTGGCCACTGGCTTGGCAGCCTCGATATGCCCCTGGCCCCCAAGAGGGATGTACTGGGACCGGGCTGCTACTTGGTTTCTGGGGAATGAGCTGGAGCATGTCTCCTGGGAATCTCCCCCCAGCTCCAGGTCTGGTTGCTCTGTGCCCAAACTCTCCAGCTATGAAACAGGAATGTAATAACCCCCCGGGGTTGTAGCCAGGAGGAGTGGGGGGGGGGGGGGGCTGGGGCCATCCCTGGCTGTTCTCGCAGCCCCAGCCCCAGAAGTTGGCTCCCTGCGGTTTCCCAGGAAGTGCCTGGCACGTTACCGTGTCTGGCAGCGCTCGGCAGGGCAATAAAACGGCTGGGTAAAAATAAACAGGCGCAACCTGCCATTGTTCGGATCCGGAGCCGGCGGGCGGGTCAGTTACTTCGCGGCGTGACGGGGGCAGGGGCAGGCTGTGAGAACCAGGACCCCCCCCCCAGCTGGCACCAAGGGGGATGAGCTGGGGGGGATGAGCCCACCCCAAAGCACTGCAGAGGGGCCCGGAGGGGCAAGGCCGGGGGAACCCGCCCGGGGTGAGGACCGCCCGCCCGCGGTGACTGGGCGGAAGTTTGCGCCGGTTTTCCGCGGGTCTCTGTTCCGAGCAAACCCAGCGGGCGGCGCGGGGTCAGCCCCGGTGCAAAGCAGCCGCAGACCCGTCTCACCGGACCCTCCCTCCCCCAGCGCGCCCCAGCTTCCCCTGGCGTGTCGCGGGGCCCCTGCCCCCGGGGGGCTCCGCCCCGCACCCCCGGCCCGGCCCCGCTGATCCCTAGAACCGGGACAACCGGGGAGCGACGGAAAGTTCACCCCGCTCCAGCGAGCAGGGCGCGGGCTGATCCGGCTGGCGAGAGACACCCACAGTGCGCTCCCCCCCGGCCCCGATCGCCGCCAGCCAAGGGGGAAGAATGAATGAGGGAGAAGAGCGAAAGAGCTTGTGAGGAAGGGAACGAGAAAGAGAGAGCGGAAAGGATGGGGGGGGGGAGAAGGGGAAAGACTGAGAAAGAAAAAGATAAGGAAAGTGGAGCGAGAAAATGAAAGAAGGAGAGAGAGAAGGAAGAGAGATTGAAAGGAGAAAGCAGAAAGAGAAGGGAAAGAGGAGGGAGAAAAGAGAGAAGGAAAAGGAGAGGGGAGGAGAGGAAAAGGAAAAGAAATGGAGAGAGAGAAGGGGACGAGGTTGAAAAAGAGAGAGAAAGAGGAGGGAGAAAAGAGAGAAGGAAAAGGAGAATGAAGGAGGAGAGGGAAGGAAAAAGAGAGGGGAGGAGAGG